TGCCTCTGCCTCTGCCTCTGCCTCTGCCTCTGCCTCTGCCTCTGCCTGGTACTGGGATTAAGGATGTACACCACCACTGCCCAGTAATTTTCTTGATTCTTATTAAGTATATAACTTAAGTATTTGGATAACAACATTATTTGCTTCATAAAAACATGAAGTTTGAGCAATAATTTCACATGTCACATAAATCTTATTTTTAAAATGTATTTCTTTTTTAAGATGTTATTTATTTATTATGTATACAGTATTCTGCTTGCATGTATGCCTGCATGCCAGAAGAAGGTACCAGATCTCATTATAGATGGTTGCTAGCCACCATGTGGTTGATGAGAATTGAACTCAAGAAGAACTTTGGAAGAACAGTCAGTGCTCTTAACCTCTGAACCATCTTTCCAGACCCCTTTTTAATATTTCTAAAGTATATGCAAACATTTATGATACTATGCCCATTCCGGAACAAAGGTCTTCATCAAATCTCTTTATGCTGCTTTTCTTATGAATTTATTTGCACTGTAATAAACTAAGCAAGTTTTCTGATTATCTCATTCATGTGAAAACTAGTCAGGCAGCACTAGATAAATTTCCTGTAACCTGAGTCCCCAGGCATGAACTCTCCTTCCTCCTTGGCCTCCATCTGCCTATTTGATTGAACACACAGATAAAAGGGAAATTGATGAGAACACGAAATGATCTAACTTTACTTTTTTTTTCATGATTACACTTATTTATTGATTATTGGGGTAAGGGTTGGTTGGGTGTGTGTGCCATAGGGCACTTGCAGAGGTCAGAGAATAACTTTTGAGAGTCAGTTCTCTCCTTCCACCATCGTAGGTACCTCTCTTAGGTATTGAACTCAGGTCATCAGGGCTGATGTGAAGTATCTTTACGCCCTGAGCCATCTTGCTGGACTTAACCTTTATTTTTATTGTGTAAGGGGAGACTGTATGTTTTGGCGGGGATGAGGGTCCAAAAACAGCTGTGTGAAGTTGATTCTCTTCTACCTTTCGTGGAATCTGGAGATTGAACTCAAGTCACCAGGCCCACATGACAAACACCTTTTTTTTGTTTTGTTTTGTGAGACAGGATTTCTCTGTGTAGCCCTGCCTGTCCTAGAACTCACTCTCTAGACCAGGCTGGCCTGGAACTCACAAACTCACAGAGATCCACCTGCCTCCCCAGTGCTGGGAATAATGTCCTCACCCTTCACTGGCCCAGAGCCTGCCAAGTAGAATAGGCTAGCTAGCCATCTAGATTCTCCCTTCCCTAGTGCTAGGACTGCAAATTCACATCTCTACACTCCTTGTGGGTTCTGAGACAAGGTCGCTAATCTTGATCAGAAAGCATTTTGCTGACTGAGATAACATCGCTTTTCTATTTGTCTGTCTGTTGAGACAGGGTCTCATCTAGTCCAAACTGGCCTTGAACTTGTGATCCTCCTGCCTCCACCTCCCAGGTGTTAGGACAGGTGTGCACCACTACACCTGACTTAGATCCTAATACTTACTGTTCTATTTGCACACATCCCCGAATACCACATATTCTACCAATGGATGACTACCTTCCTTAAAATCAAGTAAGATGGCACACACACACACATATAATATATATATGCACATATATATTTAGATCTTGGGGCAAGAGATGAATGGTTCAGTTTTTAAGAGCACTCACTGCTCCTGTAGAAAAGCTGGCTTCCGTTCCCAGAGCCTACATGGAGGCTCACAGCCCTTCCTAACTCCAGCTCCAGGAGATCCTATGCCCTCCTCTGGCCTCTGCGGGCACCTGACACACATGTGGTACATGGACATACAGGTGGACAAATACTCATAAAGTAAAAGCAATTTTTTAAGTTAGCTCTGGGCTGTCAGGATGGGTCAGGGATCAAGGCTTTCATCTTGAAGACAGGCATGGTGGTGGACATCTTTAAACCCTAGCACTTAGGAGGCAGAGGCAAGTGGATCTCTGTGAGTTGATGGCAGACAGAAATATAAAAATAAAACTGATTCTTTTGTTGTTGTTTTGGCTATTCAAGCCAGGGTTTCTCTGTGTAGCCCTGGCCATTTTGGAACTCACTCTGTAGACCAAGCTGGCCTTGAACTCACAGAGATCCACCTGCCTCTGCCTACCAAGGTGCTGGGTTTAAAGGTGTACACCAACACTCCCTAGCTTCAAATTAATTTTTTAAAAAACTAAAACAAATAAATCAGTGTGGCATGGTAGTGTACAGCTGTAATCCTAGTTCTTAGAAGGTAGAGGCATCTCTGTGAGTTCAAGGCCAGCCTTGTCTACAAAGCTAGTCCAGGACAGCCAAAGCTACATAGAGAAAGCCTGTCTCAGGAAAACCAATAAAGGAACAAGCAGAAGAAGAAGAGGAGGAGGAAGAAGGTAAAGGCAGGAGGATCAGTTCAAGGTTTGCCTCAGCATTCAAGGCCAGTCACAAAGACCCTGTTTCAAAAAAATTCAAAAAAATTAAGTATGACCTATTTAATAGCAAAAAGCAAATGATAGCAAATTTGGCAAAAGGAGTTAGATTTCAAAGTGGCAGAGGACAATACACTCCACTTCCAGAAAGCTGAAATGTGAATTCATGGATTTAGGAAGCATGGAATTTGTAATTTGAACTTTTTCTTTCTTTCTCTTTCTTTTGCTTTCTTTCTTCCTTCCTTCCTTCCTTTCTTTCTTTTTCTTTCTTCCTTCCTTCCTTCTTTCCTTTCTCTTTTCCTTTCTTCCTTCCTTCCTTTCTTTCTTTCTTCCTTTCTTTCCTTTTTTCTTGAGATGAAGTCTTAATATGTAATAGCTATGAAGAGTTTAAGTTAGCCTGGATGACTCCATTTTGAAATGAGGAGCCATCTTGACCAGGAGCTGAACTCAGGTACCAGGAAATATCACAGAATGTGCACTTGGCCGAAAACAAAGTTAACTCCCCTAGCGACAGCCTCCAGGAAATATCACAGAATAAATACTTGATAGAAAATAGAGACAATCTCCCTGGCAATAATCAATGAGAATTGGTTGGGAAAATTCTCCCCAGCGTTCCAGATATAGTTTAGAAGAAGAGCAACTGTGATTATATGCCTTAGGCAATTGTGATTATGCGCCTCAGAGAAGGTCACCTCGCTCCTCTGACTTTTACCCAATCCTGTAATGCCAGGGCATGTGCCCCCCTGCTTGCAGTCTTTCCCTTTAAAAACCCTGCTCACTCAGGGCTCGGGGTCCCACTTCTCTACTGCTACGTCAGTGAGACTTGGGTCCCAAGTTCAATCGCTCTCGTAATAAAGCTCTCTTGCTCTTGCATCGAGTCGTCTCCTGGCAGTCTCTGAGGGTCTGTGATCCTGGCCTAACAGGGACCCCTGGGTGGCCTGAAACTTACTAGGCTGCTCTCAAACTTGCAGAGATCTACCTGCCTCTTCTTTGAGCCCTGAGACCAAAGGCATGCACCACTACACCCCTGCCTTCTATTTATACTTTTGAACTTCAAAGCTCACTGCCTTCCACTGCCAAGCACTGTCCTGCTACTTCCTCATCACCTAAAAAGTCTTCTGGCCAGACAGTTCCCCAGAGCAACTTCGTCAGGAGTCACAGCAGGTAACATGGATTAACCAATTTGTAATTTTTTTGAGAATGAGTGTGTTTGTTTGTTAGTTTGTTTTAAGACAGGCTAACCTTGGCTGTCCTGGACTCTCTTTTTAGACCAAGCTAACTGGAAGTCACAGAGATCTGCCTGCCTCTGCCTCCCTAAGTGCTGGGATTACTTAGGTGTGTGCCACTGCACCCAGTGAACAAGGCAACTCTTATAAGAGAAAACCTTTAATTGGAAACTGCTTACAGGTTCAGTCCATTTTCATGGCAGGGAGCATGGTGGCGTGTAGACATGGTGCTGGAGAAGCAGCTGAGAGCTCTACACTGGGATCTGGCAGTAGAAAGAGAGCAACACTGGGCCAGATTTAGGCTTTTAAAATCTCAAAACCCACTCCCAGTGATACACTTTCTCCATCAGGGCCACACCTCTTCATCCTTCTCAAGTAACCCTACTCCCCATGACTAAGCATTCAAATATATGAGCCTTTGGGGGCCATTCTTATTCAAACCACTGTAGCAGGGCCCCAGCCCTGAGCACAGCTGACTCCATGGTGGAAGCACCATTTAGGCTTTAAAACTCAGCACACTGACATTACCACCTGCCAAAACTAAAACAAAGGCCCAATTCACCAAAGCCCATAGTTTTGAGAAAGTCTCTAAATGTACTAACCTTGGCTTCTGTGGTTTGCTCTTATGTACTGGCTACATGGTATGTGTGTGTGTGGGGGGGGGGGGTCTTGGCAAGCACATCAGTTAGATCAGGCCCAGGGTGCTTTGTTTTTATGACACATGGGCTGATGTTATCTGTGTGACACTGGCGGTCCTGTTTCTGTGACTCTGGGGGAAAAAAAAGTTACTAAGTAGAACAGTGTAGACTCATGCTGCAGTTCCTGTTTCAGGAACACTGATTAGGGTACAGAAGGCATCACTCCCTCAGAGAATGGCAGAGACAGCAAACAGCTGCTTTTCTCTCTACACTAGAGGCCCAGGGGAGATAGAGAAGCCACTTTCTTCCAGGAGAGGGCTGATAACATTCACTGACTTTGTCTTAACCCTGCACCGGGACTGCTTCAGTCAGAAGGGTCTTCCACAGCTAAAAGCAAGTAAATCTGGAGGCCAAGGTCAGGCCTTCCTTCCTTTTTTTCTGTCACCACATAGCTGTGCTTCCTTCCACAGATCTTCTGTCACCATGAAGGCGACCCTCTCAGTTGCTGTCCTTGTTCTAGCCCTCTCAGTGCGGACTTCCTTCGCAGTTGGTGAGTTACAAGTTCTTGCTCTGTCTACATTTTCTGCAACAGAGCTAATCTATGGAAAAATTAGGGTCACTCATTCATTATGCCTTCATTTATTTGCAGTGCTGGAGACTGAAGCTAGGGCCTTGTGCATACTGGACAGGCAGTGTGCCATTGAGTTATGCTCCAGTTACCATTTAGATTTACTGGATCATTAATTCCTCATTTTACAGATGAGGCTGAGATCCAGAGAAGGGAGTTACACAGCGTCACTAGCATCAAAACCAGGAGTTGGATCCCAGCCTTTCAGATCCAGAACCACTGACTTTTCCAAAATACTAGCTTTTCCGGAGGACGCTGGACTTAGGAAGCATTCGTTTCCTAGTTTGTATCTGTACATAGCTAACCCCCAGAAAGAACTTCAGTAGGCTCCATAGAAGGAGACTGATACTCTTCTGCCTAATGATCGATCGTGTTTAACAAAAGCAGCATTCACTGTACAATTAGCTGTACAGGCTCTGGGGCCCACACATTCTTTTCCCATTCAGACTCCCCAGTGCTGTGTTTACCGTTAGCCTCATATTTTCCATAGCTACTGTCTCTCACATTGAACTTTCCACTGCCAGGTTCACAACTTTGAAAGCTTTTGTAAAGAACTGAGAACTATTACTCACGACACGAATATCTCTTCTCTCTCCATATCCAATGTACTTCTGTGGGAGGAAGCTGGGTACATTCCCACGTATCCTCACCTTTTACTCAGTCCTCGTCTCATCTGCCCACTGTCACCCTACCTCATTTTCTTCTCACTGATGTTACAATCCTTGGGGCCTCTAGGTGACCAGGCCCTAAGCAAGGAGACCTGCAGGCAGGAGAGGCGGTGGCACATCCAGGTCTCTGCTTCCCAGGGCTCAGAGGCAGCCTGACTACTGTCCTGCTGCATGGGTCAAACATTAACTGAGCCCTACTCTCCTACCCAAGGAATCAGTGATTCTGTCACCTCGCTGACATCATGCACCTCCCTACTCTCTTATCCTGGTCCCATAGCACAGGTCGCATATTAAAAGTATTTTTACTAAGCCTGCTTTCTAACGATACAAGATCTCTCTTTCCCTCACAAATCTTTAAAAACTGACACCTTGCTTTTCTGTCAGGACTGAAGCATCTTGCTTCCAATCTTCAGACTGCCTCTCCCCATGCCTGTGGATTGTTGAGGCATTAATAAAAAATCTCTTTCCTGAAAGACAATTCAACTCAGCTTCTCTCTCTGCCTCTCTCCACAAAGCCTAACAACGGAGGCTTATGGCAGCCTTCTATAGAGAAGACCCCATCTTTCTAGAAAAACACCATGTATCCTTGTTCAACTGGTTGCATGGCCTTCTATCTTCTCCTGAGTGCTCACACCTACCAGTCCAGCAGACAGGACCTGTAAGCCACAGAAAGCCATGCCTTCCTTCCCCAGTGTACAGAGGCTCTCCTTCAGTGAAGACTCTCACCACTGTTTCTTGAGTTTTTTTGTGTTTAACTGTTCTTTTAGCCTTCTACTTAACCCTTTCCCCTCCTGCCCCCAAGCTGTGTCTTTTTTCCTTCTCAGAATTGTGGAACCAACAAGTCCAACTGATGGCTAAGCAGTTTTATTCTTGGCCAGGAAACAGGAGCATGATAAGAAATTTTTACAAAACAGCTTCTCAACTAAACAGAGTCTGAGAAACTTTCTGAGAATAAGGGGTGGGGGGAAGGAGGCTTTTGGATAATAGAGAGCCACCTTCCTTTAATCCTATGAGGCCTGCATTCAGTCTGAATTGAAAGCAATCAGAGCAAGGTAGAATGGGGGGCTGGGATTTATACCAGGTAATGAATTTCATAATATATCACAAAAAGGGCCAGTCTGGGGTGGACAGCACGCCAGAATGGTGTTGTTTCTAACTGACACCAGTTTTGCTTGGCTCTGTCCTGCCACCTTTCTTTCTCGGCAGTTGCCACTGTGTCAGAGCCAGATACCTGAGCAGCCCATTAGCAAAATGTCTTGTCTAAAATAGAACATTGGTTATCAACAGGAATTGTTTTTCTCAGAGAGAATTTTTGCTTAGTAAGACATCATCCATATTGCTCCCAAGATCTTTAATACTGTGCTGGGTTTCCCAGCGTCCAGCACTAGCTTACTACATAGCCAAGAAATAAAAACTGTGTGCTGCAAACTAAGCTAGACAGGTTGTATGGCAGTCTGGATTCACAGTATGACACACTAACGGTGGGAGATGCAGTGATCAATGCCAAGTATTTATAAATATTTTGATAAATAATTCTATGTTATGTACACTAAGTGTGTGTAGATGTCAGGCATGGTGGTATGTGTCTTTAATCCCAGCACTATGGAGGCAGAGGCAGGCAGATTCCTGTGAGTCTGAGCTCAAGGCCATCCTGACCTACAGAATAGTTGTAGTATAGCCAGGCTATGTAGAGAGACTCTGTCTCAAAATAAAACAAACCATAGTGACCATCCAGCCATGAGCAGAGGTTGGTTAGCAGCTTGTCCCACACATTCCCAAACTGGTGGTGGTTGTGCAACTCTTTTTTTTTTTCTAATTTTGTTATTTTTTTATTAATTACAGTTTATTCACTTTTTATCCCAGCTGTAGCCCCCTCTCCCATCCCCTCCCAACCCCACCTTTCCTCCCTCTTTTTCTCCTATGCCCCTTCCCCAGTCCACTGATAGGGGAGATCCTCCTCCCCTTCCATCTGACCCTAGCCTATCAGGTCTCATGAGGACTAGCTGCATTGTCTTCCTCTGTGGCATGGGAAGGCTGCTCTCCCCTCAGGGGGAGGTGATCAAAGAGCCAGCCCCTGAGTTCATGTCAAAGACAGTTCCTGTTTTCCTTACTAGGGAACCTTCTTGGACACTGAGCTGCCATGAGCTACATCAGTGCAGGGATTCTAGGTTATCTCCATGCATGGTCCTTGTTTGGAATATCAGTCTCAGAAAAGACCCCTGGGCCCAGATTTTTTGGTTCTGTTGCTCTCCTTGTGGCACTCCTGTCCCCACTGGGTCTTTCTACCTGGTTGTGCAAATTTTGAATACAGCACAGACTGTTCTGTTAGCCTGACATCCTCAGTGAATGCTGAGACATGAATTATGGAAGAACTGACATCACAGCATACCCATTATATGACCTGAAGTTATACGATTCAACTGTAATTAATTATATATGACTCTTCTATAGTTACTTACATGTCAAGAAATTATGTAATTGCTTAATACGAAGTTTTTTTTATATGGTACACATGTGTTTGCAAAGAAGCTTTGGATTCAGTATGTAGACCAGTGGAACTCGGTGTCTCAGTATTAATATTACAGATAATTTATAACATAAAATATATTTTTTAATCAACTAATGAAAATGCAAGTGGCAGGGGTGGCTGAGGGTAGCTCAGGACAGTGCTTGCCCAGCATGCACAGAGCCTTGGGCTCTATCCCGGGCACCACACAACTAGGCATAGAGGCACACATCTGTAATACTCAGGAGGTAAGAGGCAGCAGGCTCAGAAGTTCAAGGTCATCCTGGACTATACAGCAAACCCAAAGCTAGCCTAGAAAGAAGGGGGGAGGGCAAGCCATCTGGGTGAATGAAAGGGACTAGCTGTCTGGGGAGAGAAGAAAAGGGAGATGGAGGGTGTAGGAAGGAATACTGTCAAAGAACTTCTCCCTTAGGATTTGTTTTATGAACATGAGTGTTCTGCTTGCATACGTGTATGCACACCATGTTTGTGCAGTAGCACTGTCTATGCACTGCTTTCAGAGGCCAGAAGCAGCCTCAGGAATTATGTGTGGCTGTGAGCCACCCTGTGGGTGCTGGGAAATGAATCTGGATCTTCTACAAGAGCAGTAAGTGTTCTTAACTGCTGAGCCACCTCTCCAAGCTCAAAGAATATTTCATACTTATGTAAAAATGTCTTTTTGAAGCTGAACACGGTGATAATGCCTTTAATCCTAGCACTCAAGGAGGCAGGTGGATCATTGTGAGTTTGAGGCCTACCTGGTTTATAAAATGAGTTCAGGAGAGCCAAGGCCATACAGAGAAACGCTGTCTAATTTTTTTTTTTTTACTGTTGCATTTATGAAACCCAGTGCTACATAAAATTAATATGTATCAAATTTTAAAAAGAATTTCAAAAATTACAAAAAAAATTAAAAAAACCTAAGGGTTTTAAAAGTTATTTACTCACGAAGTGGAGGCCAGACCTCTCTTTCACTCTTGATTCCTTGTTCCTGTAGAGGTCAGCTTGTGCTCAAAAGGAACCCAGGGCTCTGATGACAGGATGGGTGCTCTTGAATGAGAAGCAGGACCTTCTTCACCGAGCCTTTGCACTGATTTCACAGACAGGGCAGTAACTCTTCTCTGTGTATGCTTGGTCCTCCAGATTTCCTCCTTCCTATGAGCTCTCGCATGACTGAGGAGCTCCTACAAGAGACAAAGGTGAGCTCCACTTCCTAGCAGAGTTTGAGGCTAACCTGATCTACACAGTGAGTAATATCAAAAAGTAGAAAATGAGCCAGTGGTAGTGGAGCACACCTTTGATCCCAGAGAGGCAGATGGATCTCTGAGTTCAAAGCCAGCTTGGTCTACAGAGTTAGTTCCAGGACAGCCAGGACTACAAGAGAAACCCTGTCTTGAAAAATAATAATAATAATAATAATAATAATAATAATAATAATAATAATAATAATAA